TAAACTATCCATGAAAACTTAATTTTTTCTTAGTCTTAGTCTTAGGAACTTAGTCTGCAGATTTTTTTAAAAACATGCCCGTTTCCTTAGCCCTCCAAAAAATGCATAATAACCAGGAATTGTCCTCACTATAATAAACACATGATTTCAAAGGAATCGGGCGGTATTCGTACTTGAACTAATGTTGGTTTTGAAAACTCCCATAAAAGTATTTAAAAACCATAACAAACGTAAAATAAACCAAAAATACAAGTTTAAATAAATTGAATTAATGAAATTAACAATGAATATTAAAGTAACAATTAAGATATTTTGAAGTTTCCCCTCGGCCATCCAATAATAAGGAAAATCGCAGCTATCACCTATTCTATTCTATTTTCTGTTTATGGCGCTCCCTCAGCGGATTGGGCAACAGCTATCACCTAACATTACCACCAAAATGTGAAGGTCATCCGTCCTTCTTGTATGTCATGCTTTGTCCTGTTACCAAAGGTGGGTTTTCGAAGAGATTGTTTTAATGACACTTATTTATTAAACTTACTGGTTCTAAATTTTATTTTGAATTTGTGTTTTTGGTTTATTTGTCGTTTGGCATTGTTTTTAATTACTTTTATGGGGGTTTTCAAAACCAACGTTAACTTTAGTTCGAGTACGAATACCACCTGATTCCTTTGAAATCATGTGTTTATTTCAGTGACCTGGGGACAAGTTCCTGGTTGTTATGCATTTTTGGAGAGCTTAGGAAATGGGCATGTTTTTAAAAAATCTGCAGACTAAGTTCCATAATGATTTTTTTTCGTTTTTAAGGCATTTCAGTGGATAAGAATCACGAAAAATATTGAATAATTAATTACTATATTATATAATTACTCGAAAACGGTTAACTTTTGGATAATGCAAATAGGGGTCAAAATTATCACAAATGATCCCCTCTATTACATCCTAACGGGAATACGTCTAATTACCAATGACCCTGTATACTAATGTTTGATTAATTACAATAAAAATATAAATATTAATAATAAAGGCTGAAATGATAATGATGATGACGGTTTACATATTATCTTAACATCCGCATCCGCATCCGCATCCGCGGATGTGAGCCCTCAAAACTCCGCATCCGCATTCGCATCCGCGGATGTGAAAAAATCAACATCCGCAACATCCCTGGTATAGTGTATAGTTTGGAAGAACAAATAGGCTAAGTTTCCATATTTCTGCGCAGGTGAAGTCGCGGGAGTCAGTAGGTATATTGACAAATCATTGTCGTTTTGTTTTAACGCGGATATCCGCGTTCCGCGTTCCGTATTAGTTGCTATATATATAGCAACTAATATCCTCTTTCTATGCGTCCACTTCTCCGTCAAGATAGGCAACAGCTTTTGAGGATGTCTATGGTTAGTGATCCCGTCGCTGTTTTGGCAAATTCAAATGGTCGCTTGTTGTTGCGACCCCTAAAAATAAAACTCTAGGTATTGGTGTGAAATATAAAAGCCTCTTCAATGTTTTTGCAACATCAAGGTTACACCATAAAGATAACACTTTTATGTCGCAACCTTGCCTTTATGTGTAGGTAATAAACTCATCCAAATTAGCTCTTTTTTATCAAGAGTAAATTAATTTATAGTAAATTACTGAAACTTTTTCCATTTTCGTTATTGTTATAAATACGTCTGTTTATACTCAGAAACGCTTGAATAGTAAGTGTAGATTCGTCAATCTAAATGTACACTAAGGGACTCTTTAAACACTCTGAGTGGTATAAAACGAATATTTTATGACGGAGATGACCTTACGTAGTGCGAAACGACGAACTTAACTAGGTCTATATAAATACAAAGGAGGCCACCCGCCCCCTAATTGGACGCTCGGGGCTGCAAATGTTAGTCCAGAGACAATCGTGCCGCGACATTTACCCGCCGCTTATAGCTCCGACACTTTATGACCGCTTGGTAGACCACGCAGGTAATCAAATGGGGTACAT